GATGCAAACGATCGAACCAATCAAGTCCCAAAACATTTAAATCATTCTTCGTGACGTAACAAATTCCTGTGAATTTGGTATTGCGGAAGGAAACAGAACATTTGAGTTCACCAATTAGTTTGAGCCGCCCACCACAGGCGCTGAGAAGAGACTGGGAAGTATTGGTGATAGGTGGTCTGCCAATATAATTCCAAAGTTTCTCTGATATAACAGTAATATCAGAGGCAGTATCTAGCTGCAGACGTGTATCATGACCATTCATCTGAAGGTCAATATATTTCCGCATAGCTGGTGTTGTGACTTGACGGGTTGCGCGTAGACTCAATGACTTTTTGGGGGATTTAGGACCAACATTTTGTTGAGCTTTTGCTGGATTTTGATATCTGGGCTTGCGTGGCTGACAAAAACCATTTTTGTGACCGATGATCTTGCACTTGCTGCAACGATGATTTTTGTGTGGACAAGACTTTACAAAGTGCCACGCGCCACAATGCCAGCATGGTGATGGTGGGGTCTTCTTTGCAGTATTTTGTGAAGTTGGACGAGTATGTGTAGATTTCCGCGGAACATTAGGAGAAGTAGGTGGGTCAGGAGTAGCTGATGAGAGATTTTTGCTCTTGCGTAATGCACGAATATCAGAGCTTCTCGGAGGTGTTGATTCGACCAAGTGTGTGTCTTTCTGCAGATTAATCAGCCGTTGATATTCATCAGCTATGTCATGTAATGTTAACTTGGGATTTTGTTCTAGCTGATTGAGCAGTCGAGTTCGGATATCTGTGAAACGAGGAGATTGGAGACTGCATATGAGAATCAAGGCTTTGAATTGATCATCTGTTAAGGACCTGAGTCGAAATCTCTCACATTCTCGGTTGACTGTGCCAACGTGAGTAAGAAAATCATCATTTTCATTCATTGCCAGCTTGAGGCAACGATAACGTATACTGAATAATGAGGAGTGGTCTCCGAAATGTTCACGCAGCATCTTTATTGTATCATCGAAACACTTGTCACGTGGTTTCTGTGGTAAAATTAGGTTGCAGTACCGTTCATATTCTGCCGGACCCAATTTACGTAGCAAAACTCGCACCTTCCAGGCATCGTCTTGTGAGGCGAGATCAACAGTGAATAAATCCTCATAACGTTGATACCATGTGTCAAAAGTGACATTAGCCTCTGGGTCATAATTGAACTGTGAAATACTGTTCACAATGCCGTCGACAGATGGTAGCATGGTATGATTGGGATTGCTTGAAGGTGGAGCTGGACCAGTCTGTTGGTTGACGAACATTTCCATTAATTTCATTTGTCGTTCAAACAATAATTCCAATTTAATAGGATCCATAGTAAATTGTTATGTTGTTGCTGCTGTGTGGTTAATAGTAGTTTTCCCCCGTCGCCAAATTGTTATGTACTCGTCGCTGAATTATTGTTATGGACTGGTCGAGAAACTAATAGTCCTGACGCGAGAAGGCGGAAATCAGAAGACCACTAGGTTTGCGATGATACTTCTATTGTCCAAACACAAGGAGACGAAAATAAATGGTCTCACACCAAAGTGGTAAGTAAGTAAAGTAGTTGTAAAGTAAAGTAGTTCACACAAATTGTGAATGCGAATATATATAAATAATTCAGACAAGCGTGGGAAAAATCATTAGACAGTCTTAACATGAATGGCTAATTATAATGGAGTGTCGATCCAATTATACATAGCGAATATAGCAGACATGCCAACAAACATATATGGATATATGTCACCAAGCAACGGACTGTCAACAAACACTCATATTATATATAATATAATATAAGGAGAATACACATTATTAAAGGAGACAAGTTCATACAAGTGAAGTGGTCACAGACTAACCGAACAAACAGAAAGAGAGACCAACATGCACACACACACATAAATATATATATGTGGATACATATCAAATAGGGTGAGTGATATTCAGGTTAGGCGTCGAGTGTTAGAAGATAAGCAGGAAAGTCAAACTTTGAGGTTGTGAAGCTACATCGATTCACATAGTTGGGATATGTGTTACATATGCCTAACCATCGCCTTGCTCGACCATCAATATTAGCTGACGTAGAATCAGGTCGGATAAAAGTTAGTGGTGATCAAACCAAAATTTGTTATAGGTCTATGCAATCTTTGACATTTGGTTTCAGCCAACCACTTAGGGAGGTGTAGACAGACATCCTGGGTTACGGTCCTCGGGATTCTAAAGATCAGTACTTGAAGACAATTGGTGATATGACTCAAAACAGTTCTTAATAGTGAAGAAGCATTCACTCTTTGTGATCTGTCACACCCATTAAGTCACATTATTTATCATTTCATATAACTATCCTTTTTTCCTCAAAATTTCTGCTTCTTATCATTCTCTCAGATCTCTTTTTTATCTGCTTTGTCTTCTCTTTATGTGCAATACGGAGTGTGGCAACTCGAAATGGTGCACCTCTGAGCAAAATTGGTCAGTGAATCAGTCATATCCATTTTCTAACTTATAACATCTAGTCGACCTAAAAGAAAGGGTGTAAATATATCCGTGCACTTATGATTAAGAGCCAGAGATAGCAAAATGTTTTTACTTCTAAATTATTAGCTCAAGTAAATAGAGATGATTGACTGTGCAAATGATAGATAGGTAAAATTCATTCAGAAATATAGTTAAGTATGACATTAACCACTATTCAGTGACTAATCATGATCACAACTATCAGTGTTTTGAAGGCAAACCAACAGTGTCAGCTAACAGTGAGTTCAGAAGTGAATTTCACGACAATGAGTGATTTAAAAACTGTCTGAGTGACATATTTGCTTACAAACTGGAGAAAAAATGTTCCAAACCTACAGTCAAAGACTTTCATAGGTTGATCCTATTTTCTTTTAGGCCCATCGAGGAATGCGGTGGTTTGGTATGCGTAACACGTATTCTAGTTATTTCGATCTATGGAAATTCAGAAGTCCGTGAGTTGAATCTCTTTCTTCACATAACATAATGCCTGACCTCATTGTTACTGGCCCTTATTACTCCACCTATCAGAAGATATCAAAAGGAGCAACTTATGGTCAAGAACCACTAGTTCTTTATGCCTTTTTTACCTTCAACAACCCTTCTTCGCAGCTATAAGTTGGGATGAAGCGGACAAAGAGAGTGAATTATACGTATGGGAACTCAAATGTTGTTGGGGGGGGGGGTAAGTAAAAGATTATCCCTCATCAGGGGTGTGATTTTCTTGACTTATCTGATAAGTAAATAGAATCGCCGCATGATGGAAGTTACATACTACCTGCTTGTTTCAAACTTTATAACCCCTACTTCAAGGGAAAAAATGGTCCAAGACGAAGATCATATCCACAAAGTTGATCGTCTTTTCCTTATTCTTCTAAGCTTTTATATTAATTCTCCTTCGTAAGTAACCTTATGTATTTAACATGACACTATTTACGCTTCACACCACGTATCTGTAAACTCAACAGTCTTAACCTGATAGTGAGTAACCGACAGAAGACCAAGATATACGATTTGATAGGCTTATTGGAATGGACCTAGTTACAATATCAACATATCAGAAAGGATAAAAATTAAATACAAACGTGAAATTACTCTGTTAAAAAAGTTACATAAAATTTGGCGACTCAAACATGTTTTTATGCTTCCTACTTGTGCAAGTGGTATAATAAGGTAATATTCAGGTTAGGCTTCGGTCGAGTGGTAGGTAGGTGGGAGGGTAAATCAATCGACGAGACTGTGAAACTACATCGATTGAGATGGTTAGGACATGTGTTGCGCATGCATGCCTAGTCATGGCCTTCCTCGACGGGCAATGTTAGCTGACATAGGGTCAGGCTGGGAAAGAGCTGGTGGCGGTCAAACGAAAATATGGTTTCATCAGTCAATGAAACCCACAACATTTAGTTTAAGCCACGTAGGAAGGTGTAGACTTCCTGGTTGGTGTCCTCAGGACAGTTAAAGCCGATGAAGACTGGAGACAGTTGGTGATAAGGCTCAAAATCGTTCTCAATGGCTGGTGCAGATGTATCCACTCCTTGTGACTTATGATTTCCAATGAAACTGTTTTGTTCTTCGTTATTATTATTCCTTTGTCTCACACCTCTGTTTACTGTCTCTATTATGATTCTCTCCTACTTTCTTCTATTGCTTTGTGTGTTACATGGAGTGTGGCGACTTGAACTGGTGCATATCGATGCAAAGTTCTATGTCGAAAACAGACAGACTTGTGCAACTGTTGGCGATATTACTCAGCTACCTGAATTGATTGAAGCAGGACAAACAATGGCCGAGAGTCGAGTACTTAAGCCCATAAACCACATAAAAGTATATATAGGGTATATGTGTAGAGTTTTAATGGTATACACTTCAGTAATTTAGACCAGCTCTAGAATTCTTTGTTCTTAAAAATTCTGCAGAATTAACGTTGATACCGTACTTAGTGTGTGTTTCGTTTTGCCTAATATGGATAGATAATGAACACTTTAATTGGTAAAATCATGACGACGAATTAGGAATCATGCTCAAACTTGCACAGTGAATAGAAACAAACTTGCAACTCCCTTTCCAATACGTGTAAAGTAATATTATGCCAACCATAATAACCATCATAACAACATTTTAGTCCTATATAACACCAAAAACCTGATCTGAGATAGGATACGACTATTGAAAATTGGATAAAATGGGAAACTTTAGATTTCATTTGTTGGGAAGAAATCACACAGAGGATAATATTACCTACTGATGAAAATATTAGGCTGTCCAAAAACAAAATCACTTCATATGAGTTTGCTAGCAAAGTATTTTATCTAGTATTTCAGGAAGTGATATTACTATTCCCTCTAAAGTTCCATCAAGAACAAGTAAATGTTAACTGTTTCATCATGGTAGGATTGAAAATTGACCTTCGCAAACAAGTCAGAGGATAAAATTGAACAACATAGTTATCAAAACCTCTAAAATTAAACACAAAATACTTACCAACACTAGGAATACTTTTTAAATTAGGTGAAGAGACAAAACTACATGACGAAGAATGTCTTATGTGTTCACTCCAAGGTTCATCAGTTGGTTCCCAAGAAGCCAAGTTAATCAAACATTCGAAACAGTATACAATATCCAGGGGATATTTAAATGGGAAGTAGAAACCAGCTTCAGCCAAAGCGGAAGGAGTTGCCCACCTGTAATTAAAACACCAGCCAAACAAGATAAATACTCTCTATAACCATGAATCACGCACATTTTTGTTCATTCATACTAACGATAATTGTGCATCTGAAGTCCTTGATAGTACCTAAAACATATAAAATCTGAGGTACCTGTATACTGATATGTTAATTTTCCAAATAATCCTTCAGTCTTAAAAATAATCAGTGATTAATGCTTTACTGGTTGGCTGACCAATAACTCTCTAAGTTTATAACAACAATTACGAATGGTTGGTTAAGAAAGTGAGTACCGGTTCTTAAGATGTCAGAAAAATCTAATTCGAAAACAAAATGCACAAGATTCGAGTTGAAATAATCAAATATCAGAAATCTCAAGTATAATACTTTATTACGTCAACGACCTTTCGCTAGATCAGTATGTAAACAGATTTCACCTCTGATATCTTTCTACGAACAGAAATTGTTTTAATGATCACTACTTTCACAGTTGGGAGACTTAAACACAGGTTCTCAAGTTGATAAGTCTTTAGTAATATTTTTAGCAGACCATTTTTAGTTTTATCATACAGCCTAGAGCTTAGAATAAAAGTTTTGATATGAACCACGTATTTTAACAGAAACCCTGGGTCACTCGTTCGAGGTTTGGGTAACCAGACAGTATCGTTAGCCTTAAAATGATGGACGTGGGTTATTGCCAACAATGTAGAATAAAAAGTAGTTGATGAGTAATACTTCATCACATTAAGAAAAACAGCAGAAGTCTCGCTGTATTTAGAAATTTAATATTTTGTATTCGTCATGCAATAAACGCAAAATACACTTCCACTTATTTGGTAGGCTTGTTTGCATAAGTCGTACGTCACTTAGATAAGTTCTGTTCATAAATTTTGGCTTGAATAACTCTTAAAGCCTTTGCTTTATTGGGATTTTCATAGGCGATGAAAAGAATGATATAGCTTCCTTCTGTACAGCACATTTATCATCAACAAAAGCTCGTAGCCTGTTTTAATCACTAGACTGCCTAAGTTCTCATCCAACATAATGCATTAGAACTAAGTGTAATAACACTACAACCATTTATGAAACGAAGAGAACCGAAGAAATAGAGAATATGTAGCTGTTTCCGGAAGACAAACGCACCTTAACCAAACTTACCATGGCAAGAAAAGAAAAGGACAAAAGCGGTTGACGCCAATCTTTTTACTAATGCTACCTTTTTCATCTAAGATTTCGGTAAGGTGCAACACAGAACTGTTAGTAAACTCATATTAAGTTTCAAAAGATGATCAGATCAGACACCAAATTATGGAATTTCTAACAAATAGAAAGACAGAATTAGGACTAACGGGATTCCAGACAATTTCAGTTATACCTTGACATTACACTTTAACAATCTACACTTAGAAGTAATACCGTATCGAAACATGAATCGGTAAAACTTTTACGCCGGGACATATAGTTTCGGCACTTGCTGATCCAAGATTTAATCATGAACTGACATCGGTTTGCGAAACATCGGAAAACCTGCAGACAGTATTGAACAGCTATTGCATCCTAGTTCGGGACTCTTCACAGTACGCACCCACTGGCGTTTGAACCCAGAACCTTCTGGTTACAAAGTGAGATGATGGACCATCAAGCCACTGGGACCCGATCCAATGGGTCATAAATTCTAACTTTTGCCAATTCACGACATAGCGCGACCCCTGGACAATGTCTTCGGCGAGTATTTGTCCTCACACCCGACCTGCTGCACGACTTCCCACTAGAACCCCAAGTAACTACCTACTTGAGTTGGACCAGTCACTGGATTAGTATTCAATTCTTGGTTTATAGGGATTCTGTTGGTGTCAGGATTTCATCAGGAAGTCAGACCAGTGGGGTAAAGCAGGTCACGTGTGTTCATCGATGACATTCACTGGTGATTGCACTATGTCGTGAATTGGCAAAAGTTAGAATCCATGACCCATTGGATCGGGTCCCAGTGGCTTGATGGTCCATCATCTCACTTTGTAACCAGAAGGTTCTGGGTTCAAACGCCAGTGGGTGCGTACTGTGAAGAGTCCCGAACTAGGATGCAATAGCTGTTCAATACTGTCTGCAGGTTTTCCGATGTTTCTCAAACCGATGTCAGTTCATGATTAAATCTTGGATCAGCAAGTGCCGAAACTATATGTCCCGGCGTAAAAGTTTTACCGATTCATGTTTCGATGTCAGTTCATGATTTAATCCTGAAACTGACCAAATCCCTGCAAGTCAACCTTTCATATTACTGATCCAGTGTAAACAAAACTATATTTCTATTTAGCGAGTCAAAAAAGAAAATACGTCAAGAAGATAGCTATCTCACCACCGAATGATAAAAATTAGTAACCACTGTTTGCTGTCAAAGTTGGTTAATACAAAAACGAAGGATATTCACATTAAAGCTGTGCAAAATAAATATATACGGAGCAAACTCAAGCAAATAACACATTACCATACAAAAGCTGCTTACTGGTAGTCCATATGTGGCCAATGGGCAAACGTTAAGCGCCTATGGGCTTCACACTGCATGGTGAGTGGCTCTCGCTTTGCTGTATAAAACAAAATGCTATCACTATCCAATGCTATTCGTATGAGGCGATGAAGCATTGACCTGTAAAGAGGATCGACTGAATGATTTTCATGAGAGCACATGTGGAGCAAATGATTAACTAGATAGTAGATGTGCTCGTAGCTACCAGTTATAGTAAATGTTTTCCACTAGAATGTTTAATTAAAGCCACTACAAACAATACCTTGGGACTGCGTCCATTTAATGTTTCAAAAGTTAGCTCTTCAAAATCAGTGAGTGAGTAATCGTTTTTAAAAAGAAATAACTCCAGGACAGAGCTCTGTTGAGAATCCAACTCAAGGGAAATTTCATCGGACTTGTGCTGAATGCGCCTATTAAGGAATCCTTGGAGTAATATTGATTCGTTTAGATGCCTTCTAGCATTGATTTCTGTGCCTCCAGCAATAACGAGCCGTTCATTAGTGAAGTAGCCAACACACATACAAATATCTGACAATAAATTTATTAAATTAATCAAAATGTGGGTGAATATACCTTTGACATTTGATCCAGTGAGTAGGCATGCCTCTTTTTCAAGGACACCTGTCTGAGCATTATACACTTTTACATCTGATTTACTACTGACTAACACGCTAATCCCCAAAGGAGGAAAGAAACAAGGAACCCAAGGTCTGCTTGATGACATAACGGCGACCTTCGGCTTGAAAGCAGAACTTCGAGTGACCTTCAATAATTTCGAATTTGTCTAAGATTTCAAAGTTATTGATTGGGAATAGAAAACTTGAAGACTACTGTATTCTTTTCTAATTAATTTATGTGCTTTTCAAAACTCTCCTTTTATGGCGCGCGCTTCGAAAATAGGAGTGGCATTTTCAGATTTCAGATTCAGATTTAATGGTTGAGGATAGAAGGCTTGAAGCCTATTTTAATCCTTTTCTAGTAAATTTCTGTGGTTTTACAAACTTTGAAAAAGGAGAGTGGCATTTTTACGTTATGAAGTAAATTCTGCTCCTGTTGTTTAAACTACACCAGAAGCCTTTTAGTTCATTTGAACTGATTTATTTAATTGAAGTGTTGTTCATTTTATTCACATTTTGTGTTTCGGTTGGCATTTACCTCACTGTTTTCACGTTTACATATATATTTGTGCAGTTGGATGGTATCAACCTCACTGTTTTCCCGTACATACATTTGTGTAGTTGAAACAAATTAGAGTTATGTGCCCGACTAACAACTGTGGACGACCGGACTGCAACTTTCCGGTGGATGATGGGATGCAGTGTGAAAACTGCACCCTGTAGTTCCACTAGCATATTAGAGATTTTGCAGGCCATCATCTTCGTGGCTGTGCGAATTTCGCAGTAACCCGTTGGATGTCTTCATCCAAGAGGCAGTAGGACTTCGGATATCCAAGAAATTGTAGGAAAACACAATCGAAAAGCCTGCACCAGAAATCTTAGCCAAGAATGGCGGTTCAGGACTTAGTTTTAAAGCTGAGGGTGTACCACCTCCTGAAGCTTCAGAGGCAAAAGAGGCACAGAGTGCCAAAATATATGTTGCTGCAAAGCTCAAAAAGCAACGGGAATCCAAAAGGGCAAGTGGTGCCAGCATCACAACACCACTCTGTGAAATGGCCATGCCAAAGCGCAGCACGTCTAGTGCATGAATGGCTTCTAGTCGCGGCGAAAACAGAGTGGAAGGAACCGACTCCACCTGGTTGGTGTAGACAGGTAACAAGCAAAATGAACGTAGGAAAGACACAGTAACCGAGTTTACCAACAATGTCTCGACAGCTGTTAATACCAGGCTAACTCAGAAACCCGCCAACGCTAGTTGCAGTGTTATCGCCTGGAATTTGGAGGAGTCAAATAACAAAGATCGGGCTTCCTGACATTCAGATGATCTGAAGGCTCCTGTCAGTGAGGTTGAAGATTGAATGATCAATTCATGGTTGTTTGCTCAAAACCAACTTCCCCAATTTTCGCGGAGGCATCAACACACCAGTCGTCGTTTCATCGGTCGCTGTTCAGAAAGAAGTCAGGAGACAACCGTCAGAAGTAATATTGTGATTTATTATTGTAATATTTGTTCATAGACCTTAGTTGTAAAGCTTAGTTTTTAAGTTGACCATATGTTGGTGTTACAATAAAGAATTCTCGAGTCGCCAATCGGTGTTTTGGTTTCTGCGTCCGTTATTACGAAGCGTTTCTGAGAAACTTCAAGGAAGAGCGTGAGTCCCAGCGTAGCAAGAGCTGGGCATTAACGGTTTACGAGACGTGGCTGACAGCTGCATTATCCGGGAGATACATCCTGAAAAAAACAATTGGAGTTCAAATAATAAAACGCCATGAGGATCGGAAAACTAAACCCTGATGTTACAGAAACTTCTCGACTACTACTTTGGATAGCTTCAGGGAAACAAAGATAGAGGAGGCACATCCTCAACAATGCGTTCAAAATCAGGGATAAAAGTTTAAATATAAGGCCCGATTGGCTTTAAGAAGATAGAATCAAAAGAAGAGAAGCCGTGGCTGAACTAAAGGCCAGGCTAGACAAAGGCTAAAAATACCTCAGCCTATGGGGTTTTCGGGTGGTGAGGTCTCGGAAACCGATGCTATCCAGACCTCTCTTCATAAGCCGGATGAATACTTAGGTGTTTCGGTGTGCTATACGAGCGCATGTAGTCGTAGGAATAATCTCGCCGAATTAGAGGAATTACCTGAAAGACTACAGCCTGATGTGATTGCTATCACTGAGACATGGTTGTTAGTGAGTGTAGACTTAACTCCACTCATTCCTGGTTACATCCGCATTCGGGCAGACAGGGTAAGTAGTCGGAAAGGTGAACATAAAGAAAGCATTTGTAATGAAGGCTCAAGGCACAATGAGAATGGATGGGTGTATTCTTTTGCCATACCGCGCATCAATTGAGTGACTGTAGTCGCTTCATTGCTATGTCTCCCACAGAAAGGTTAAAAATGGCAAAAAAAGCGGCTGTTTCAGCTGTTTAAAGACGGGGCAAACAAAGTTGAATTGTAGGGCGATAGACAAGGGAAGTAGTGGTTTAACCGATATGCACCCACTTTTGAGGACAGTGAACGAACCGAGGAATTCGTTTAATTGTAATAGTAACTTTAGACCCCTTGACAACCCACAAGTTTATTCAGGGGAATCACCAGTTAAGGCGAAAAGACCGAAATCTTCGCTGGAGACTTATGCACTCTTGGATAATGGTCCAGACGTTACATTGATAGATGCCAAGCTGGCTGGCTGCATGGGTATTAAGGGCCTAAAGCAATCCTAGGTTCTAAATACTTTCAATTCCTCGAAAACGGTTGTCAATGGAGTTGAAGATTGAACGATCAATTCTTGGTTGTTTGCTTAAAATCAACTTCCACAATTTTCGCGGAGGCATCAATACGACAGTCATCGTCTCATCGGTCGCTGTTCAGAGAGAAGAGTGAAACATCGTCAGAAGTAATCTTATGATTTATTATTGTAATATTTGTTCACAGACCTTAGTTCGCTTATTCTTTTTATATGTTGGTGTAACAATAAAGAAATCTCAAGCGGCAGATCGCTGTTTTGGTTTTTTCGTCCGTTATAACTAACCGTTTCTGAAATCTTCGAAGAACAGCGTGGGCCCGAGCGTAGCAAGAGCTGGGCATTAACGGTTTATGAGACGTGATTGACAGTTTCTGACGATAGAAACAGATCTGGCGGATTCAAACAGTTGGTGAAAGTTTGGATAGTCGCCGTTCATTTTTCCTGGTGCCGGTCAAGCCCTCTTTGATCAAGCAATATCTGGAACATTTTTGGAATTGGGTCAAGTTCAACAATGCCTGGGTCAAAGAAGGGACAGAGTGTCTTGGATGCAAACAGGAAAGTAAGTCATGGTGACTTGTCTGTTAATTGTAACGATGTGTCTGATGTTAAGCATGACATGGTTGATGTTACTGTTTCGCCGTTCAGGGATAATAGGAACATCAAACTCCCCAAATTTGAACCACGATGTTTTGATGGAAACCCGGCTGAATATTTACAATTGTTAAAGGAGTTTGAGATCATGTTGAGTGGTTTTTTATTAAATGATGAATTGAAATTGATGTATTTGATGAGATATTGCACTGGAGATGCTGCAAGAGCTATACAGTGCTGTAAGTTTATGAAGCCAAAAGAGGGCTACTACGAGGCTATGAGCATATTACGTCAAAGGTTTGGAAGACCTTCGATGATTGCAGGGAAATTATTCGACGCTGTTAAGGGTAATGGTGGTCAATTACAGGATGACTCCCAGGCACTCACTGAGTTTTTAGATAATTTGCTAACTTACAAGAATGCAATGATTTCGATGAATCGCACGAGTGACCTCAACTCGAGTTTTATACTAGAAGTAATAGCAAGACGTCTACCTACTGGACTGCAAAGGAAGTGGGTGAAGATAAGCTCCCGTATGGAGGATGAGGCTATCGAGCCAAGGTTTGATGATATCCTGAAACTAGTAAAAGATAGCGTCAATCAATCTATGAGCAAGTTCGCCAGTCTAATACATCTCACCCCTAGAAAAGAGCAGTCTGAGATCAAAATGCAATCATTGATGACGAATAGGCCTCAGAGAGGTGGATATCGAGAAGGGTCCATGATGTCTAGTAGTGCATATAAACTTAGTGAGTGCAACAGGTTTCGTAGTACATCCTCAACAGATAAGTTACAAGATGCAAGGCAAACACGGTTTTGTTTCACACGTGTGCAAGAGGTGCATACAGAAGTGAACTGTGAACCGGTGAGCAAGTTCAGTGATAAGCTAAATGTAAAATCCAGGTCTGACTCCGAATTGTGTGACGATAACGGCACGGTGAAGAAGTCTGTAGATGCAACTGGTAAGCCGTTGTTGAATAAAGTGTCACAGAATGGAGTTGCTGCTTCAGAGTTCAGTTCTGACCCTACAAGTTTACAAGGTATAACTAGTCAGAGTGGAGGTATAAAACCTTTTATGATTTTTGAGGAGGAGCCAAAATTGTCTACTTCTGTTATTAAAGAGTTTGAAAATGATGAAGTTGACGGTAAAGTGAATATTCGTGATAATGATCATGATACTTCACAGTTGTCTTTGGTTGATCATGATCAGATGAGGGATATGCCTACTACTGCTAAGTTGAACAAAGTTTCTGTACAACTTGAACGTGAAGTAGAATTGAACGGAGATGCAGTTCCAGAAGGTGTGGATACTTGTGAGACAGTCAGTGTAATTGATCAGCGTGTAGCCCACCTATCATCAGATGATAGGGCTAAACCCGAACTAGTAGTGAAAGACAGCAGTGGTGGTAATCTTGCAGTTGGACAACTATCTGAGAGCCGAACAAGAACAGCTTCTGATCCACCGCTAAGTTCATCACCTTGTGTCACTCAGTCATCGTTGGTGCTGTCATCCACAATGAAACAGACGCCCATCAACTCAAGTATCTTGTGCAATGACTATGGTAGTATCAGTTCGTTTGAAAGGACGAATATCAATGGTCAGTTTAGTGTGGATAAGCCAAGTGTAAAGGAGAGAGTAATTGTTAAATTGACTTGCACGAATAAAGGCATTTCTAGTTTCAAGTTACTATTTGAATGTTATTATCTTTGGTGTAAATTACTCTGTTTCTATACTTGGTTGATGAGATATGTCGTGTGTTTGTTGGT